AGCAGTCATTTGGAACCGTCGTATACGTAAATTATCTAAAATATCCAAAATCGGTTTCCTACAAATCATAGAAAAGAGGCTGACAAATTCAATAGTTTTTCAAAATTGAAATTGGACTACTAGAAGTATGTGTATTTTTCGCCAGCTTATTAGCATTTTTCACTGTTGTGAGTGTACAAAAATATTTTTCGAGAGTGATTACGTTGACTTGTGCATGCGCGTACGTGTACTATTGAACCGTGTGCCCGCAGCCGGGCGATATAAAATCTATTGTTATCGAGTTCGAATTTCTTCGAATTTCACACTAATAATCATTTACGACTAACACATAGATTACGGGCGGCGACGACAAGATTAGAAATTGCCTAAATTGTTCCCCTTAAATAATAGCCACTAAGAGCCGCCTTAATATGAACTTAAAAATATAGATAAATAGATAATTATAATTGATCATATAGAAAAACATATTAATAACGTTTTGTACTTAGTTTTATTTTTTCAATAATAATAATATAAAATATTTCTTTGGGTGTTTTGAAGTGTGGTATCACCCGTTTTGGACAATATGCGGTAAACTTAGTACCAAGTACCAACTATATTACTACAATACGCCTTATCCTCGTATTCTCTAGTTAAAGGGGCTGGAGCATAATCGATTCTAAGGAGTATAAACTAGGCATTTTATATTTTAGTTCATATGGGTCTTATGAATGTGTTGAAAGTAAATGAACATTAGTGTGTGTAATTCGTAGTACCGATTACGTTGTATAGGGGAATCATAATATGTCTGTCATTTTACCTACGAGCATGCACATGTCACCATTTATTACTTTATAAAATTAGAAAAACATTTTTTTTCAAAAACTACTGCCAGTGACTTCAATTACTACGCTAAGTAGGATGTTCCGATTTAAATTTTGAAAGCAGATTAATTGAATTCTCCTCTAAATTTACTATGCTTTAACCGTCGTACATTTTTCATATTCGCATCTATATCAATGTATTTTAATTTTAATTATGAATATGATCTATTTTTACTCTTTTTGTTAATAAATTTCTAATTAAAAAAAAATAAAAATCAAATTGTCAAAGCATAGATAATTTAGTGACGAATTCAAATCTGCTTTCAAAATTAATATCAGAACATTATATTGGGCGTAGTGATTGAAGTCGTGAGCTGTGTTTTCGACCGAAAATTAATCACGTTCAAGGAGGTGATTTAATAAGGAGTCGCGTATAGGCAATTTGATGTCTTATACTCGTTACTCAGTGTGGTTGTGTGCAAAGTAATTAGTAAATGATCATTAATGTGAGTAGATACGTTCGGAATCCGATGTGTGCCACTCTCGCAAGCACACGTCAATAAATTGAGAAAAACGAAATATATTCTTCTATGCATCACCTATAAAAACTACCAAAAGCGGTAGTTAATTAAACATACTTCCTGAAGTTTGATTTTAATTTCGAAAAAATGATTGAATTCGTAAGCTCCAAGACTTATGCTTTGTAGGAACCACTTTTTTGATAAAAAGCCCAAAATAAATACAAATGTAATGCAATTATTTCATGAGATTTTTAAAAGAAATATCCAAATATTATGGTCCTTAAAAATTGAAAATTGACTTCCTAGAAAGCCTAGTTATTTTGCCAAAGAATTAATACATATATTTAAAATTAAAATCGGACATTCGGAAGTATGTGTAATTTACCACTGCTTATTGGTCTAAAACGTACGAGAAATACGTGACATGCCCTAATCATGAAAATCACGATTTTTCTAATATTAGGAATCGCCTCTGTCAAAACCTAAAATTATAGTTTATAATATAATTAATATTACCAGTACCTATAAACTACAAATTATAATATTATACTGGTATCCTATGTTTCACTATTATTTATTAACGTAGGTAATTATTTTATGATAGTAATTATACTGTTGTTATTACTAAAACTATAGTAAAATTATGATATTTTGTAATAATGCAGATTAAAATTTTAATATTATCACTTGATAGTTTTTCGTAACATGATCGTATACCTATTACCTACTCATAATTAATAATTATTTATTATCATTAACCATATTATATGATATTTATGTTGCTCTATTATACTTATAAACTTATTGCTCCGATTTTAAAATATTAATGTACGTTACCAAATTCACTATGATATTATATTATATTAGGATTAACTGGGGTAAATGTAAATGGTTTTGACAAGGTTTACCTAAATACAAGCACTCACCCTTATGTAATGTATTCTATACATATACTTTGCGTTGTAATTATATGTAAAAATGTCTAAGGAGCAATATTTTGGGATCGTATTTAGTATAAAACATTATCTAATTCACAATTTTGAATTTAATATCCCTCGTATAATTCATACAATAGAATAAAATCTGGGGGAAAAGTAAATGAATCTTCGGTACATATTAATTATTTCTTCAATTGGTTATTATGTGCGTTTTTACATTTGCCCCATATTTAACAACATATACAACATACCTACTAAGGGCCTTTTCCTTTTCCCTTATATTAGCTCTCAGTCTAGACTCTAGATGGATCAGTAATGAAAATTAACATAACCTTGTCATTAACCTAACCTAACCTTTCATAAGTTTCTGCTACTCTTCTGGCTTTTTGAATGAAGTAGATAGATGCCTCTTCAAACAATTATATTATCAATCATCAACCATCACCAGGTTTAAAATCTTTAAAGGGTGTAATCAATTAATTATTTTTCACATATTCGCCTACCTACTAGAAGTTTAACTATTTTTTCTTGTCAGACAGATGTCCATATATGTCCATTCTAGACCTATATATATAAGGCAATATTACATTTTTTGTTCATATACCTCAGGTGAAACTGATACTCACCCATTGGTCTTAAAATGTAGTAGGAGTTTTCTTCCTTTTATCCACGAAAAATTTGAAAAAAAATTGAAACACAATATTTTATTTCTAAAACTTGTTTATAAATTTTTTTCCATTTAATTTGTCTTTCACGGCTAACATAGTTTCTAACCTTATATTATACAAAATCTACATTTAGTTGGTATTTTACATTTGCCCCAAGTCTACTATATTTTTGAACAACTATATCAATGACTTGGAGCAAAATTTACCCATAAATTGTACTCAAAACATGGTTAATCTATTCAGAATCTATTCACAAACAAAATGGATTAACAACTTTGATTATACTTTCATTTTTGAAGATGTCAGGGAATAAATGCCGTACACTCTTCAAAACGAAAACAAAATAATTGAAGATATGTTTTGATAAACAATATATATATTATGTACATAACATCAAATAAAATATTATTCTGACAACAATCATGAAAGAATAATAAATGTACAATGTATAATTTTAATCAGAATGTGTTTTTATCAACAACTTAAGATTGTACCTAACATGTTTACATTTACCTTAGTTGACCTTATCTAACCTACTGATTTTAATCATATATTTTATTTATTTTTTTATTATTATATATTTATATCTAGTAACAAAAAAAATAAAATAGTATACAATATGTAAGAAATATTACTAGAAGTTACTCTACAATGAGGAAAAACCTTGTGTCGTAGAGTAAGAGTACTTCTTATTCAGTGCCAAACACAGCGAGTAAAAATTAATAATAATAATAATAATAATAAGTAATGATAGTAAGAAAAAACCAAACAGAGTTCAGCTGAAAATAGTTGAATATAATAAGAAAATTTGTAAATGGTAAAATATATTAAAAGAGAAAAATCGAATTTTAGTCCTTTATAATTAAAGATTTTTGTAGAACCAATTTTTTAATTTTAATTTAAAATTTGTATAATTATAACAAACTGGTAATTCCTCTGGAATTGTATTTAGGGACCTTAATCCAAATCTGTAAGAAAGATATGATGCTTTTTTGGTATTAACAAACGGTATTTCAATATTTTTTTCTAAAGTCATACACTTTATTATTGATATTGAACAAATTATTTTTGTATATTTATTTAATTGCCTGTTTTATTATATAGATTGTCTATATCAAGTACTCTTAGTAATTTAAATAAATTACATAAAGGAAAGGCTTTTGGTTTGTTTAAAATGATTTTTATTATGCACTTTTGTCTAATTAACAGCTTGTTTTTTAAAACTTTCATTGCAACCACCCCAAGCCATATTGAATTATTGAGTGCGGCATTGCGAAGTATGTAATGTATATAAATATATATACCTATGTAATAGTATATTGATACCTACATCACAAAGTTTTCGAAAAATTAAGAAATTTCGAAATTAAGTTAATTATACACACACATTTCTCTACTAAAACAAGTAAGCATATATTATCTTCATTTTTATCCCAACATGTGTATATAATTACACTCAACAACTCAGTTACCTTAATTACTCAGTACCTTATACATATTTTAGACTTTTTAAGTTAAATTTCGGATGAAATTAGATATTTAAAAGAAAAAAGCGATTTTATTGTTATTCCGGATTTAATCTAATTTAAAAATATTTCTAGAGTTAACTTGAAACTTTTGTGTATATCATTAAATTTTACTATACACAATTACTTTGACAATGACAAGCCGTTCTACGGAAAGTTTGTATAGGTGCCATGACAAAATGAACATGTTTTTAGCAGGTATCTATGCTGGAAATTCGAACAAACATGGGGGATGCTTCTCTCCGCTTCTCAAATATATATATTACCAAAAGATCATAATATGCATTAATATTTTTATAAATATTGTACCAGACGACACCAATCCCCTAAATTAGAAGTGGCAGTAGAGTGACTTCTAGTAATATTTCTCACATATTGTATACTATTATATTTTTTTGTTACTAGAAATTAATTAATAAAAAAAATAAAAAATTTAATATATGATTAGAATCAGTAGGTAATCAGCAGGAAGCACGGCGTTAGCGTCAAGCCTGGACCAGAACGATTTGATTTGTTCGACGCGGGTGCCGGGCGATTCCACTGGTCAGTTGTGTGCCCGGTTGTCGTCGTCCTTCTTCATTTGAGCCATCTTCTTCTTATCCTCCTACGAGATTAATTTTTAAATTCTTAATAATATCCTATACTACGTTTCGGATATTAGTGTTCAGAGCTGACCGGACTTATAGTGGTGCTAGCGCATACAGTACCCAATCAAAATAAAATATATTGACTAGTAGTGACTACTTATTTAGTGTGTTGGCAAACTTTTAGAGCCTTCCGTGGATTTACATTCCCAAAATTAAAAATAATATTGTGTCTAGGCAAATTTTAGAATACTTTATAAGCGTATATAAATAGGATTCATTAGATAGTGATCAGGTCGGGTCGCATACTGTGGCATAGCCACCTCAAATAATTCCCTCGTTACTTCTTCAAAGATCTGTTAAAGGAACCTTCAAGTATAATACATGGATCAGCAGAGGTGAACTGAAGCTTGTGTAAGCGGGGGGGGGGGCGATTTGGGCTATTTATGAGTGGTATATATAAAGTACAATGGAGACTTGACCGTGTTAATTAATTAAAAAAGTCCAAGGAGGATGACCACCACATTGCAACTCCCCCCCCCATAAATCCGGAACACATTATTGGTTTACCAAAAATCAAAATGTTCCTTTTTTTCGAAATAGTTGTGTATTCGAAATATTATTGGAAGAACTATTTGGAAGTATACTTATTATGCTGCAGCTGAAGGCCATTGTTTTTTATCGTTAGAATTTTCTCACGATCCTCTCGACTTACCATTTTCTTGTACGATTTTTGGTAGAAGTTATGGAACAGTAAGTAGAACATTACGGCGTGCAGCGAGATAATATAAGCGAATGCCTTAGGGTAATCGCACTCAGTAAACAGCAATTGGGATGCGTGGATGAACACCAAAATGAATTGGACCTGAAACACGAACGGAATGACGTTGAATATATTATCGGTCTGAAGTTTGCATTTTATATACAGCCATGTACTGCAGGTTGTGATTTGTGACCCACACGAGTATATGTTGACATAATAATATTAATATTTTTGTACCATTTGGAGCACAGTCAAGTATTTCTTCCACCAGAGGTACTTTTGCATTTGAGGACCAATGGCGGCCAACATGTAGTACGAGTACATGATTATATGCACGAACGTGTTGAGAAGTCCGAAGAACGTGCTGTGACCGCCTATATATAAAAATAATTTAAAATAACGTAATTAAATTTAGTTTCAGCACAGGTCCATCTGGTAAGAGGGAAGTAGACTCACCGGGTGTGAACTTGACGCCGAACCACACGCTCATCGGCATGATTCCGTGGTGGATTACGTTCAGCGTTGATACTTGATCGTATTTCTTGCGCATAACGAAAAAGAACTAAATAAAACACACACAAAAATTACCATTAATATTCCATATGATCGTGAAGCGTATTCACTTACGGTATCGAAGAATTCCGTGAATTTAGAAAAGAAGTACCACCAGCAACCTCGAGCTACCTACAAATTAAAATCGAAAAGTGTAAGACGGCATTATGGATAGGCAATTTTATAACACACGGTGTATATAGTGGTCGAGCAATTACGTCGAGCGACTAAAATTAAATATAAATATAATAAAATTATGGTGTCCCACAAAAAACGCTGAATTCGTATTTCACTCGTAATGTTTGTCTCAATGTTGGAAAACAGTGTTTTTCTTTTTTTTCTTTCACTTATAGCAGTCATCATCTCATTCCGATTTGATGATCAGTCAGACTTTTTTCACGTTTGTATTTTTTGTCTATTCATTGTTATGCACAAAGTGTCCCATGAACTGCGTAGGTTTTAAAAATTAAATAATGCAGACAATTTTAAATAAATACACTTTTAACTAAAGAACACGAAAAAAAAATCGTAGGACGTGACTGCGTGAGGTGCCATGATCAGAGAAGGCCTAAATTCAATATACTATCCATGACTACAATATAACAACCTGTTAACAACAAATGAAAATACATAGCGAAACAAATCTGGTGTTTCATAAGACGCGGTCCATCTTCAACACAATATGTAACTACTACTATGAACCTTGCTATGCTCCGTCTATAATTAGTATTATCTCTATGATGATAATTGACAACAAAATAGATAAAAACACCAACATTGAGACAAAGACAGAAATAGCCAGCGATTCAAGACTAGACACCATAACGATTATTGTGGACTGCGCCTCCCCCAAACCCTGCCTTAGGTTGTCTAGGGTCAACATTGTTAGAAAATGTTAGCCTGTGCATATTATGACAATATGACAGCACAAAGTTGTATACTATAATTGTGTTTCTATCAATGTTGTCCCCAAACATCTCTCTGTACTCAGTCCATATTTATGTAATACGTCGATGTTTAAAACATAGGCGTTCTTTATGAGGGACACTCTTTAATAAAATTATATTACGTTACATCGATGGACTTACTCTCATGGCGGCCGGGGATGTGGAGTAATCGACAGGTTCGCATCCGAGACTGTAACCGTTACCCCACGCACCGTCCCATGCTTCGAAGAAGATCCACGAGGAGAATATGACTTGCAGTAAATTATAAATGATTAATGTTTTTCGTAGTTGGAATGGTTTGCGGTCTCTCATCAACCACGGTCCCAAAAACTTTACGATGAATACATATGTCAGGCATATAATCATGGTAGGCAAGGGACTGCTCATAAGGAACCAATCATTAACCCTTTTGTCTGAAAATATAAAATGTTTAAGTAAATCCCCGGGATACCAAACAAGATATTAAATTTATTCTTCTTGGAAACATTTTTAAAAAACGAAATTAATCAGCATTTTCTATTCGCTAATCCAAAATAACTGTAACTATAAATATTATGGTAATTGTAATAACTCTTTATTGAGAATATTATAACTCGGAATCAACCGATTATGACTAGTTGTATTAAAAGTGTCTAATTAGTGTTTAAATGCTATTTTATAGAAGACATTAATATTTGCTATCGATGTAATCATGTATGAAAATGTGTAGATATAATTAAGATAGTAATTAATTTAATGAAATTAAAATGCTCAATGATTTAAAATCTTTATAAAATATATAATAGATCATATTAAAAATTACTTACCACTGTGATCGTTCATTAGGGTGTTATACCCTTCGATTATAGCGTTCGACATCTTGGCGATTGCATCGATATCCTACGTATGTGTAACCTATATGAAACTAAACAAAAAAAAAAAACCAATTTAGTAAACAGATTTTAATAAGTCACTATTTTAATCATATTATCCTCAATTTGCGCGATACAATGTATGTCATTATTCATAATAGGTAAAGTAAAAGGTTAAAGGTAATAGGTTTAATTAGCGATTTCGAAATGCGTTATTCCGCGAGATCGATCGTCGACGCAATCGTCTAATGAACGTCAATCATATAAATTATCATATTATAAATATTTATAATTACTATAAAATAAATAAGTCATGACTTAGGTATTATATAATAATACTGTAAAATAGTATATAAAAAAATCCGGCACAAGAAAATCGACTTTGTGATGGTGTTTATATTATTATTATTATTATTATTATTATTATAATGATTTCGACGATCTACAAATTATTTTTATAAATCATAATAAACTGTTGACGCTTATAGTCGAGCACTCCAGCCCGAGACTTCATTAAAATAAATCAAAACATTATAGCAATATTTTAGGTCTGCTTTTTTGAGCTGTAGAGGTTTTTATGATGTCTTCATATTCTATCTCTGCTGTAATTTGGTTTTCAATACACAATACTGCTAAAGCATTTAATTTTTGTTGGCTCATTGTCGATCTTTGGTAATTTTTTTTTGAGGCACGAAAATTACCTTTCAGCCGAACAATTAGTTGCTGGTGTACTAACAAAAATTCTCAAAACTATTTCAACATTTGGATAAACTATTTTATGTTCATTTTCATAAATAAACTCTATTAATTTTAAAGGAGACAGTGTTTCTAGACCAAATTTAATAATCAAATGTTCTTTTAAATGCAATAACTCAGTTTGCAAATGTTCACGGTCAAAATTAGTTTCGTATATTTTCCAGAGGTTGTAAAACACACGGTCAGACACGGTAGACAGACGCAGACCGTAGATCGTGTTGCGGGTAGTGGTACAATGACAATTGTGACTGAGAACAAGTATTACTGATATCTTTTCCGAAAATAACAAATAAGTAAAATATACCTAAATGTTATATTTTCTGAAAATACCTATACTCGGATAGTCGATTGTTCCCAATAAGTACATAGGTACTAATAAGTTATTAATAATAACTAAAAAGAAGTAACTAACTGTAATTATTTTATTACACATGAAATATTTTAAAATTGTAATAATAATTTGTAATATTCTTATTATAGGTACGCATCATACAATGTACATATTATTATAACTTTTTTAAATTATTTGTATTCGTGTTTATATTACTGTTGAAAGAGATGCTTGACGCACTAATTACTTTAGTGTTAGTATAAATGAATTATAACACGACAATATGATTATTTATAAATATAATATATAATAAATGTCTGTGACTGTACACATACACCGTATACGCACTGTACGACTGTGCAAGTGAGTATTACATACATCAAAAGACCCTATATATATAATATTATAACCACAACCGAGGTCATTGTACATCCGTATATAGAGTATTATACTAAATTGTACACACGTTTCAAGGTTGACTACTAATATTAGTTGTATATTTCAACAATTTCAAATATGAAAAAAAAAAATTAAAATGAATATACCTAATAAGTCAATAATAACCCTTAGTTCTAAAAAAAAAGCCTCCCTAGGCTACAGCCTTTTATCCTGACCCTTAATCCGCCACTGGTTTCAGCGTATCATGTTTTAAGGAGTAATATTTAGGCAATTCGTAAGACATGTACATTTGGGCTATGTCTATGTATGAGAAGTAAATGAACACTAGTGTGTGTAATTCGTTATCGCTTTTGCAGTCCTGTAAAGAATACTTTTGAAAAGTACTTGAGTAAGTACTCAAATACATTTTTTTTTAAGTATTTAAGATACTACTCAAATACTTTAATTGTATAGTATTTCAAATACTACTCAAATACTTTGAAAAAGTATTTGGAATACTTTTCAAATACTTTTGGTTTTTAAAGTGGGTTTCTAATTATTGTAATATAGACACATAGGTAGTAAAATTATAATCATTTTTATTTATTATTTATTAAATAAATATTTATTACATTTTTTTTTTTTATTTTTACATGAAATTTACAATCTGTTCTTAACTAGAACAATAAGCAAATGTGCATAGGGTATTTGCGTATGATTTTTTTTTTGAGGGAAGAAACCACCCATTGGTGATACTACCTATTTTGTGTTCTTAATTCATTCTAAAATTTCTAAAATTATTTCGAATAAAAATAAAATGTTCGAAATAAAAAACCAAAGTATTCAATACAAAAAAAAGTATTTAAAATACCATTCAAAATACTTCATACTGAAAGTATTTAAAAAGTTATTCAATACTTAAAAAAGTATTTGAATACTTTTACTCAAATACTTTACAGGACTGCGCTTTTGTCACAATGCCGCCCACCCATTTCTCAAAATACGGATTCCTGGAACTACGATGGTAATAATAATAATACCTACTACCTACCAATTAAAAATTTAAAAATATAATGCAATTAATAAAAATGCTAGACAGCCTTCTCTGGAAGACCAGATAATTAATGATTACTTAAGGTTTACAAATTGAATTTTAAATGAAAGATAAACTATTATTAATATAATTTTCTTGAATTCAATAATACTGAGCAGAGCATATTCAGTATATAATATAGTATATTATACGAATTTTTGTAACCAAGGAAAAAAGTGAAAAAAATTTTCTTTTACCAAAATATTTACCACTTTATTCTCTATCTAGGTATATTTTAAGTTTATTAAGATTGGTTTGTGGTAACAAAACAAAAAATAACAACATAACCAGAAACTACGCAGCTCCTCACTGACCTCACTCAGGATCTAACATTTTGATCGATGAAAACTTATATATTCTATTAAAAATTATAAACTTCTATTATTTTTTTATTGAATTTGAAGTCTAAATATTTATATTAGGTAGGTACTATAAATAATATTTTAATAATATTTTTATTAAAATTGTAACTATGATACTTATTCTTGATAATACGCACATTTGTATATGAATTTCAATTATGATAGGCCACTGCAGGCATAACGTATTGTCATACATGATGGTACAACAATGTTAGTTATATGAAAATGAATTATACGATATGTAGGTACCTACAAATGAGTAACGACTAATGATAAATAAAATTAATATATTCATACGGGTATCAGTTATAATAATATAAATATATTATATATCACATATTTTGAATGTAAAAAAAAGTGTTAGTAGATTAATTGCATTAGGTTTTCTTTGATTAAGGCGGGTAAAAGATGTTCTAAATAAAAGATTTTAATTTTGATTTCCATGTTACTTTTCCAAAAATCCTCATCTAGTTTTATCTGTTCATACATCAAACCTGTAATGATTAGTTTTTACTAGTAGGTAGTAGGTACATAATATAATATTTTAAGCTAATAATTTTAATAATTTTTGTTAACCTTTTGTGGTCCATACACAAGAATAGCAATAGTCAATAATATCATTGTATAAAAAAAACGATTCTGAGAGAAAACGGTCAGTCAGCCTATGATATTACTAAGTGGGTATATTTGATGATATTATTGTGAATAAAGTAATTTGTATTTTACATATAACCTATATTTAAGTGGAACTTTGTTTTAAATTGTCTATCCTTAGCTATAAAAGTTGAATACATTATAAATGTTAAACTACAAAATATTTTTTTTTTAATTTTAATTCGAAATATACAATCTGTATCAGATGACATAATATGTATACATGATAATAGACAGATAACATGAGTGTACAAAAAATAAAAGTGAGTAAAGAAGCCACCCAATGATGACACTTTAATGATGGTTTTTTTAAGTTGTGAGATAATTAATATATATTTTTTTTATTGAAATTTGTAACAGGTCTCTGCACCATCTACGTTTTAATCGTCTAGGAGGGCTGCCGTGGATTGAGAGGGAGGAAAGGTTTTTAACTAAAGGATTTGAGTGGGAGGAAAGACGGTAGTGGAATCTTTTGTAAAGATGTTTTGCTTCATCATGGATTGTTTTTATTTTTAGGCCTGAGTGGAGAGTAAGGTTAGATATGTATGTGGGAGCATTTATTAATTTTCTTGGCGCAATGTTTTGGAATGATTGAATTTTATTTAAATTTGTCTTTTTTGCACTTCCCCATAGCTGTATCCCGTACGTTCAGATAGGTTTCAGTAGTGTCTTGTAGATGAGGAGTTTGATATTAGGGGAGGTGTGATTATTAGAGGTTAAAGGTTTGATGATACGAAAACGGTTGTTGAGTGATAGTCTTTTTTCTCTAATATGATGGGCCCATGTTAGTCATTTATCTAGTGTAAGACCAATGTATTTAACTGTAGGAGAGGATGGGATTGGAGCACCGTACAGAGTTACCTCGAGGCAAAGAGCTGGTCTAAGCGTAAATGTGGTGTGGATAGACTTGCTATGGTTTAATTTAAATCTCCATTTGGTATACCAATTCTCCATAAGGTTTAAGTATGAGTTTGAAGGTTTTCGGATGCTATGAGTGGATTGTCAATTGTCATTCATTGAGATAGTTACCTTGTCGTCGGCATAATCTGCTACTGAAGTATTTATAGTGTAATTGGTTGATCTGCGGCGAATATATGATAGAGAATGGGGGATAAAATGCCACCCTGAGGGACCTCAGCACTTTTACTACCAATCCTTGATGTATCAGACCCGTATCGTATTTGGAAGGTACGTTCAGTTAGATATGATTTAACATAAACATCTCAAAAAGAGTCAAAATATTTTCAAAATTGTATGGTGTATAGTTATTATCGTTTTTGAATAACAACAAAATAAGAAAATCTCTTTATGAGAAATTAAGTGAATATCCAATATCATAAAAATATGAAAATCAAACGCTCATAAAAATGTAATTTGATTTGTTTGAAGACTTCTTTTTTTTTTTTGATAAAGGTAGACAAACTTATGAGGAA